GATTTAATAGTTATTTAATACTTTTTAATACAAGAAACACTACTATAATATCTTATATCATGTACAATGATAAAAATTTAATATTTAAGCTCTTTTCAATATTGTAATTGAATATTTTTACGTAACATTTTACGCGATTTATAAATACGAACATAAAGAAAGATAGACGACTTGTCTTTGTTAATTTTTTTTTGGATTAAAAAGATTGTCTATCTAGACATTTTTTAAAATCTATATCGCTTTTAAAATTTATATTTATCTACGATTGATGTTGTATTTGAACCAAGTACTTGATTAATGACCGACGACCTTATACATATAATGTGTGTGTATAATGTCGAGAGAAAAAGTTTCTGCTTATAAAAAAATTAATAAAATTATTTTAATCATAAAAATTTTTTTTTATTCTAAATTTTCTTATTTTCTAAATCGCAATTTCTGAGCCATCGCAGAGCTTGTCAGAAATTTTAATGTGAACGATGAAAATTTCCGCATTGCACTTCGGAGTTTCCATTTTCAGAAAACATTCTTAGCGCGATTAATGTCCAAGAAATTATGATTTATTAATGAGATTGCGGACCTATAAATTCTCGCTTTGTTCAATTAAAATATTGTTTAATTCTTAAGAACTGATCGTACACATATACATATATATATATATATATATATATATATATATATATATATATATATAGAAGAAAGAAGAGAGTATTTAGATATAAAGTGTGCGTAAATATATGACTGCAACTGTACGTGTATCATTTGGAAGATTGCATTCATACATCATTCTGGGGATATACTATTAGCCTTCCGTTAAGCGTTTAAATCGGAGGTCGGCAACCTTCTCTAGCACTTGTACAAACCGCATATTCGACTTTTAATTTTAATAAGGGGCTTACAGGACATAAAAGAGACTGGTGCAAAGGTGTGAGCGAGTAAAACGTAACGAGGTATAATATGTAGTTAAATCATATATAATTATACATAATCTATTTAGGAAATTGAAGACTATACGGATATGATACCTAATCAACACAAAATATGGATAAATAATTACATATACTTATGAATGTATATTTATGTAAGAGAGATTTCTTCTCTCACGGGGGAGAGATTTATTTGCAATAATTTTTCTCTCATAAAAATTACGACTTAATTATCAGCAATGTGATCTTTTCCTAGAAATATCCATATTTTCCGGCATTTATTAGAGTCCCACGCGCTAATGACAAAAGCGACCGTTCAATGACAATGCAGTTATCTTCCAAGCTGCGGTTATTTGTGGAATTGAGTAATCACGATGGGAAATGCAAGAATAGAACGCTAAATGCAGACAATCTCGAAGAATCAGTACGACTCTATCAAAAGCCATATTTCGCAGTGTAAAACTTATATAAAGTAATATAAGTAACGACGACAAGAAATGAGAGCTTAACACATTATATGAAATCTGAATTTCAATCTCAAATTAATAAATGAATGCATTAGACCGAAAATTCGGGAATCGATTTCGCTTGCCGGGCGAAGCTGAGCTATTCAGATCCTTATATAAAGTAATATTAAAATGTATAGAGATGTCTATTTTAATTATACATCTCCTCTGTGCACGCTGTTATGAAGGGAGAATAGTTTATTTTATTAATCAACAGATCAATTATATTATTCCCAGAGAATTATTCCCAACTTTCAGAAATAAAAGATACATTAGTGACAATGACACATTCGTGTGTCATTGTGAAAATCTTTAATTATTTCTCGTGCAATTTGACGAATCCCGCGAACATGAGAATTGTCGCGTAAATTGCACGAGTAAATCCGCGAATGCATCGCGAATCGGCCGAGACCGAGGAAGAGTGCATCTAGAACGATTGCGCGGATCTCTTAACGCGGTCATGCAAAGAGATCGGGAAAATTATTACACTCGTCGCCGTACTTTGGACATTATTATGTTGCGGCGGTTGCCGATTACGATGGAGAACAACAATCGAGACAATTAGAGCGCGGATTTCACTCCGCAGGTCATCGAGTAAATCCTGTAATGACGAGGAATGATTGCTCGCGGGTTAATCGTCGACGAACTCGCCACGCGAGGCAAATCAATTGTTCCTTCCTCCTTTTCCCCCCTTCAACCCGCGCATCCTCTTTGCGAGATCGAGAATTACCGATGAACTCGATGATAGAGGCGCCTCCTGCGATTTGCTATGCATAGTCATCGCGCGCATGCGATCTCGAAGCTTCTCCCGATCGCGGAAGGAATCGATTACAATGGTTTCACGTGCGCCGCGTTAATGCAACGTTTATTGCATTATTTATGGGATACCGTACGAATAACGACTGCTTATCTGCTATCGTGCTATCGGGGACTTATACGCGATACCGTATAAAATGCTGTTATTCGCAAGTGTAGTTAGCGAGCACGTGAAATTGAAGGGCTCGCGGCGATACAATGTATACACTGGGTGAGAAAGGAGCCTCTGGGTAATTTTCAACTTTGTGCATTTTATTATTAATTAGCAAGTAGCAAGCATTTCTCGTGCCACGCGAGATTTAGATTCTTTTTTTCTTTTCTTTTCCAAGGACTATAATTCCCTCGAGCTGATGAAGATAAAACCAGCCAGAAAATAATTCTGCGCGATTCTTCCATAGTCATATAAGATAAACTCAGCTTGCATGTCCTTGGCGAAATGAACAAAGAGGTAAAACGTAAGAGATTTTTTCTTTTTATTACGATACTTTATACTTTCAGATGAGATTAGGTTATTGTCAATTGCCATTAATGCGCGTGCAAAAAAAGGACACAAATTTATTGATATTTTGCCTTTCTTTTTGTTCTGCCAAATATATGGTATGCTGGGTCTATCTGATATGTCTATGGATTCTTCACGTGATTTGTAGAAGTTAGTTTAGATTAGAGTTAAGTCAAGTCAGGTTAGGATAGAATTTCTCGATTTTTGAATCGCCTCTCTTTTTAGGTCTATTCTTTTTAGCTGAACTAGCTGCACTAGTTCTGAATTCATCTTTTTTATTCTATATTGAAACGAAAGAGATAAACTCTGAACTAGTGCAGCCAGTTCAGCTAAAAAGAACAAATCTTTTGACACAAATGTCGTACATGTATCATGTGATCTTGTGACCCTCAAATTAAAGTCTGGCCATAACGCGATTTTGTCAAAATTCTGCGAGAGAGAGAGAGAGAGAGAGGTAGAGAGATAGAGAGAGAGAGAGAGAGAGAGAGAGAGAGAGAAAGGAATATACATTTGTCATATTTCTCTCTCTTTCAGGGATATATGTACATTCATCAGATAATCTCCCCTCTTTTGATTTCTAACGTATTCATGCATTATCGTCTGTGCTGCAAAATTTCTTAATACATATTATTTTAATGGTATTAATAAAAAGAACATAATATTCAATTCTTTTAAAACGTTTATGTTTTATTTATGTTGCTGAAATGTTTATGATAATGGAAAGGTTAGTATGATTCAAATATAAGTGAGAGTTGACAGAACATAGTAAATCAATCAAATCTGACTGTCTTATGGCCAGACTCTAATTCGAGGGTCTCTAGTGTGACCGAAGCACCTGTCGCGTCGGTCCGCGAAATTGAAGCGACCGTCAAGCTTCACGGTCGGTAAGCATTTGCGCTTCTTCGAGAACCAGGTCGCATGGAGAAACATCAACTCCCCCATACGGGACGACCAATTACGAGATGGATGGTTCCGACGTGTCCTGATTCCCTTACTGTCAACCTAGATAAGGATCTAACTCGCGTTATTAAACTTGCGAAAGGGCGTCGCAATTGCTCTGCCGCGACCATTTGCATCATGAGAATCTTACATTCTTCTCGTTGTTTGTATGACAACACTAAAAAAATTGTATTCTCAGTTTATGGTAAAAGTTTCCCCAATTATTTTTAGAATACTTTGTTCTAAAATAGGCACTAAAAGAATTTTCTTAACTTAAGAGAAATATGCTCCAATCACTCGAAAGATTATTGTCACATATTTCTAATGAAATTTATTTTTATATTAACACAAAAATATATCATTTTACAGCAAAGAAAGACCATGGAAAAGGTTTACAATTAGAGATAATACAGAGTATCCCAAAACTCATAATTGATCTTTGAGGGAATAAAAGAGGTTAAAATTTTAGAGACTAAAGTTTCTCTGTCACTTTTCTTTCCGGTCATTCACTGACAATGAGTTATTTAATAATTAAGTCGATCAATTTTGTACGCGCTGCAGCGCAGTAATTTGATCAAATTGATTAAATGATCGAATGATGAGGGGAGCACGAAATGAAATTGAAGCACACGATTCATTTTTGCCTTCAAGATGTCGGTTGCTCTTGCGAGTTTCCGATAGCTCGTTGCCAATTCTTCTTCTACTTGAGCCAGGATATTCTTTTTAGTTTTTTTTCTTATTATCAATTATTTCACATTTTGGTATGTTTCTCATGTTTCTTTCTCTTCCACTCCTCTCATCCCTGTATAGATCGAACATAAGGCATCTTTCTTAAGTCGCTTAAGTTTTTTTCGCGTCATTATTAATTTTCTTCATGTATTCTTCTAGTGAACTAAAATTATTCAGTGACAAAAACTGCACCTTGCATTGTAAATCGCAAAATTATATCTAACCATATATACATCGCTGCAACAATATGACCATATAATGCCGAATGAATGGTCTACATAAAAAAACATTCGACCATTTGTTATTAACAAAAATGTATTCTTAGATTTAGAAGGTTCTAAAAGTACTTAAGAATATTTGTTAAAAGGGATTTTATATCTATACCTTTCATTTACTTCAAGAATACAATTATTCAGTGGAGTCGCAACATTTGTCGTTAGGAATAATTGTATCATTTTTTGCGAGTTGGAAAAAATGGAAGAAAAAACTAAATAAGAAAGTGAATAAATATTTATATAATAAATTATATATGTATATATAAGTTTTATGAACCTATTAAGTTATCGTACATATTTTTTGTTATAGGACAATCGAGTTGATCGCTTTGGTGGCGATTTCCAGTACGTTGTTCCTTTTTCTACACACAAGAGATCTGCATTCGCGTCTGAAAAAGATGGAAGTGCGTCTTCAACCGGGGGAAGACGACGTACTTTCGGCAAATCAACTCTCATCTGGTAACGTATTAAAATATATGACGATAAAATTAAAACATATGATACTGAAAAATCTTCGTCTCGCTTTCTTTCTCTTTATTAGAGCAATAAATAAAATAGAAGGATGTAGAAAAACTCTAAAAAAAGGATATAATGAAATAAAAATTTTAAAGATTTCTAAATTATTAAAAGAATAGAAATTAAATTTTACGATGTGTGCGTTCCACATTCCGTGAAAAGTAATATAATTTTCCAATCATCCCGTTCAAATAATGAACGACAATAAATAAATAGCTCATGCGTGTAAATAAGCGAATAATTAACGCACAAGAAAATAGCGTTGAGAAAGTTTTTATTTCCCTTTTGAAGCGACGGGGACAAATCCTAGATAACTGTTAGTTACTGTTAATTGGAAGGAACTGATTATCTATTTAATTACACAATCTGCGCTCCGGTTTCCCGTCGCCTGAAAATGAACTACATTGGAATTACACTCGTGTCAGCCGGCACTCTCGAGAGGCGCACCATAATAGACACGTTTATACATGCGCTTTTATCTGCTTGTACATAGCTCCCCGAGGGTGCTGTTAACTTCCCGGTTGAGGAAGGTCAAGGTGTGAGAGAGTGAACGCGCGGATGGAGAATTCGAGAAGAGTTACAGATGTTCTTGTGCGCATGAGAATACACATGTAGATGTGTTTGTCCTCGTTATCCGTACATTTTTTATCACATTAGTAAGGTCCCTAAGCAAACAACAAACTCCGACAAAATAATAGCGCCTTCATTTTGGAATTAAAAATATAGGAAATTACCGACTAATTTTTGAAGAATAATTACTGATATTTTGAATTTCACATTATAAATCATCCAGATCAAACATATATTAAAAATCCATGTATACATGGCACACATGGAGCTACTTTTTGCTACGTTTAATATTATTATAGGTTTGAACGTAAATATGTATTGCTGTTTCTGCTCTATTATATCTACAATGCACGCATACGTACGTACAAATCGTAATACAAACTATACTTTTATATTAGACTTTTAATCTAGATTTAGAGGATAACAGTTCTTTTTTCATGTATCTTAATCTCAGGGATCTTGTGTTGATATTCATATAAAATGTATATTTTTTTATATAAAGCACATATGTTGAATTGACAGTTCGTCTGTTATTCGAGACGTCATATCGAGATAAAAGTTGATAAAGAAAATTGTAATATTGTAATTATTTTTCATATGAACCCAAATAGCAAAATATATGCATTCTGTACTTATATTGTACTCATATTTCTTAAAACATAATGACAAAAAATAAACACAGATGCAGGCTCATATGCCACTCAAAACACGGACATATAATATTTTTAAAATTTTTGCAAAAAATGTCATTATAAGTATATAAATATGCTCAAATTAATATCTGAGCTCACATTTTTCATCATATATATGTAATTTATGCTCATAATACTTATCATCGTAATATGATTACAAAACATACAAATGCATTTCAATCAATATCAGAAGATCATGATATGATGAAATCTAATCATCAGGCATTTCTATCTGCGGGGAAATCGAACTTCCCTGGATTCATTGATGTATGTATTACAATCGTAGAAATACATTTTTAGTTCTGTCAAATTAATGCGACAAAAGACTAGAAGTACGAAAATAATAATTGGTCGATAAAATAGACAATCGTTAAGGATCCCTTTAAATAATTCAAGTTTGGAAATAATATACGAAGATCATTCGATAAATAAAAAACTAATGATTGTTATTTTAATAATCGTTTATGTCCCGGGTTCTTATGCACCGGTGCAGGCGAGGATCTGTGTGTGTCAGTGGGTAAATGATCAAAAATCGGTTTAATATGAGAACTGTTATAATTGCTGCGTTTGAGTTCGCTACAGAATATTCGCGGTATACATCCGCACGCGACAGCAGTCGGAAACCGAATCTCCTGATCGCGCGTTACATTTCCTCTTGTCGCCTATCTTCTTGACATTCGAGAATCTTCTCACCTAATCTTTTTCACTCGTGTTATTATTCTTTTTTCTGTCTCGATGCTAGTTGTCAAACGTCTCGTCTGTTATGTTTTCTCTCTACTGGTTTATTTTGTCTCGTTTTTGTTTTCGTCCTTTTGTATGTCTCTACTTATACCCGGGGAATATGTGACGATATTATCGCCACAGGACTCCCCCGCCAGTGCTATACCGATAGCACGATATTCTGATGCGTGGACGCTGCGAGTTACTTTTTTTTTTTTTTTTTTTTTTTCTCGACGTAACACTGCACCTGTCTACCACAACACCATAAAGAAATTCGCTAGTATGTGATCATAATACGGTCGTTCGTGCTCGCCTATGCGTACGCGTGTCAATTCCTTGGGAACAAAAAAAAACTAAATGGAATACAATGGAACAGCGATATAAATACAGAAACATTAATAGGTCAAGGGAAATAGTCGCTCTCTCGGAACCTCGCGACCCGAAATAATTGTTCTCGCCTCCGCGTCACAGGCCCGCCTGGAAGTGGTCCGGAAACCGAACCTTTCTTCCTGCTCTCGTCGTCGTCTCGCCCCGTCGGCGAGGCGGCCTCGCGCCCTTGCGCATATCTCGATCGACCTCTGCATCCCGGCCTTGCGCCGTCGCCTCCGTCGGGCCCCTATCTTCCGTCTCGTACTCTGTAACCAGATAAGCGGGTTTTATGCGATCTATGGAGATCGCTTTTTCTTTGCCGTGCATACGCACGACAAAGACTTTGTCGCTGCGGCTGACAACCTCGTACGGTCCCTCGTATGGCGCCTGCAGCATCTTCCTCGGTCCGTCGCGTCGCACGAACACCTGCCCGGCCGTCGCTAGGTCTTTGTAAACGAACGGCCGTCGCTCCCCGTGTCGGGTTCCGTCCACCGGCCGCAGTCTCTCGAACTGCTCACGTAGCGTCCTGACGAGGTCGACGGCGCTGTCCTCGTTGTCCGTCGGCAGCCGGCTTAGGAATTGTCCCGGGATCCTTAACGTCTGTCCGTACACCAATTCGGCTGTGGTCGCCTGTAGGTCGTCCTTCCACGCTGCTCTAATCCCCAGCAGGACCGTCGGCAGCGTCTCCGTCCAGCGGTCGCTCTGCTGGCACTTGATCGCCGCTTTGAGCTGGCGATGAAACCGCTCGACCATTCCGTTCGCCTGCGGGTGGTATGCCGTCGTCCTCAGTCTTTCCGCTCCCGTCATCTCGCTCAGTCGTCGAAACAGACTGGACTCAAATTGAGTCCCCTGGTCTGTCGTGATTCGGAGGGGTGCCCCAAACCGGCAGATCCATCCCTCGTAAAAAACCCTTGCGATCGTCTTCGCCTCCTGGTCTCGTACGGGGAACGCCTCCGGCCACCTCGTGAAACGGTCCACGCACGTGAGGCAATATTGCTTGCCCTCCGAGACCGGCATCTTGATGATGTCCAGGTGGACGTGCTCGAACCTGTTGGATGGTACGGTGAATTTTCCCAAGGGCGCCGACACGTGTCGAGACACCTTGGATCGCTGGCAGGGCACACAAGAACGAGCCCAATTGCGGCAGTCCACTCTCATCGACGGCCAGACGTAGCGTTGCGCCACGAGTCTGCCCGTCGACTTGATCCCTGGGTGTGCCAGGCCGTGCACCAGGTCGAATGCGGTCCGACGGAAAGACCTTGTCAAATATGGCCTTGGTGTCGGCGTCGCTGTGTCGCAGTAGATCGCGATTCCGGTTCCGGGGATCTCCACCTTGCTCAGCTTTAGTCCCGTCTCCCGTCGCAAATACTCCTCGAGCTCCTCATCGGTCCTCTGTGATTCCGCCAGTGCGGCGTAATTCATAGGAGCTTGGAGCTCCTCGATTCTCGATAGCGCGTCCGCCACGACATTCTCCTCGCCCGTCACGTGCCGGATGTCCGTCGTAAACTGTCCGATGTAGTCTAAGTGGCGGAACTGGCGCGGCGTGCTTTTCTCCGGTTTCTGTCGGAAGGCAAAGGTGATTGGCTTATGGTCGGTATATACCGCGAACGCGCGCGCTTCCAACATGTGCCGAAAATTCTTGACCGCCAAGTATATCGCCAGTAGCTCTCTATCAAAGGCGCTATACTTCGATTCGGCTGGGCTTAGCTTCTTCGAGAAGAAAGCTAACGGCTCCCAGCCGTCGCTGCCCCGCTGTTGTAATGCCGCGCCGACGCTTTGTTCGGACGCGTCAGTAAACAACGCGAGCTCCGCGTTCGTCCTCGGGTGCCTCAGAAGCGCGGCCTCGGCCAAGCCTTCCCTCGATGTTTCGAATGCTCGTTGAGTCTGCTGCGTCCACGATATCGGCGTCTTGCCCTTAATGTTCTCTCGAAGAAGATCATTGAGCGGTGCCAAAATCTCGGCAGCTTTAGGCATGAATCTTCGGTAAAAATTTACCATGCCCAAGTACCTCCTCAATTCCTTCGCGGTCCTCGGCATCTGACACGCGAGGATTGCCTCCACTCGCGCCGGCAGCGGTCGTGTTCCTTCGTCGGACACCTCGTATCCGAGGAATTCCACCCTTCGTTGTCCGAATACGCACTTCGTGGGGTTGATCACTACCCCGTATACTCGCAAACGCTCAAACACCGTCCGTAGGTGCTCGTGGTGTTCTTCCTCTGACGATGACGCGACGAGGATGTCATCGATGTATGCGTAGCAGAATTCAAGGTCGCGCAAAACCTCATCGATGAACCGCTGAAACGTCTGTGCCGCGTTGCGTAATCCGAACGACATGTATGGAAATTCATACATGCCGAACGGCGTGGTGATCGCCGTCTTCGGGATGTCCTCCTCCGCTACCGGTATCTGGTGGTATGCCCGCACTAGGTCCAGCGTGGTAAAAACTTTCCTACCGCCGAGGGCCTGCGCGAAATCCTGTATATGTCGCACCGGGTAGCGATCCCGGACCGTTCGCGCGTTCAGCGCCCTGTAGTCTCCACAGGGTCGCCACTCTTCGTCTTTTTTTGGCACCATATGTAGGGGCGCCGACCA